GACATATTGAAGGTTTTTGTCAACCCTGTGTTGTGCAAGTCTTTCCACACCATTTTCTACAACAGTATGTGCTCACTTTGTATTTGTCTGTCACATTTTGGTAATTCTTGCAATATTTAAAACTTTATTATTGTATCTGTTACAGTGATCTTTGATTAGTGATCTTTGATGTTACTATTGGAATCGTTGTTTTACGATACATGAAGCACACCCATATAATGAGATGGTGAACTTAATAAATGTGAGCTTTCTGACTGCTCCACTGACCAGCTGGTCCCCTGACTATCCCGCTTCTCAGGCCTCCCTACTCCCTGAGACACAGCAATATTGAAATTAGACACAACAATTTTGAAATTAGGCCAATTAATACTACTACAATGGCATCTAAGTGTTCAAGTGAATGGAAGAGCCACGTGTCTCTCACTTTAAATCAAAAGCCAGAAGTAATTATGCTTACTGAAGAAGGCACATCAGAAGCAAAAATAAACCAACCATTTAGCCAAGTTGTGAATGCAAAGGAAAAGTTCTTGAAGGAAATTAAAAGTGCTACTAAGTGAACTCACTAATAAGAAAGTGAAACAGCCTGTTGCTAATATGGAGAAAGCCATCATGGTCTGGATGGAAGATCAAACTAGCCACAACATTTCCTTAAGTCAGAACCTAATCCAGAGCAAGGTCCTAATTCTCTTCAATTCTGTAGAGTTTGAGAGAAGTGAGGAAACTGCAGAAGAAAAGTTGGAAGCTAGCAGAGATTGGTTCATGAGGTTTAAAGAGAGAAACCCATCTCCGTAACATAAAATTGCAAGGTGAAAGAGCAAGTGTTGATGTAAAACTATAGCATATTATCCAGAAGATCGAGCTGTGGTCATTGATGAAGGTGGCTACACCAAACAACAAATTTTCAATGTATACAAAATAGCCTTTTATTGGAAGAAGATGCCATCTAGGATGTTCATAGCTACAGACAAGTCTATTTCTGGCTTCAAAACTTTAAAGGACAGGCTGACTTTCTTGTTAGGGGCTAATGCAGCTGGTGACTGTGACGTGAAGCCAGTGCTCATTTACAGTTTTGAAAATCCTAGGGCCCTTAATGATTATACTAAATCTACTCTTCCTTTGCTTTATGAAGGTAACAGCAAAGCCTGGATGACAGCGTATCTGTTTACAACATAGTTTACTGAGTATTTTAATCCCATTGTCAGGAACTGTTCAGGAAAAAGAGATGCCTTTCAAAATATTACTGCTTATTAACAATGCATCTGATCATCCAAGAGCTCTGATGAAGATGTTCAAGAAGATTAATGTTGTTTTCATGCCTGCTAATATAGCATTCATTTTGTAGGCTATGGATCAAGGAGTCATTTAGACTTCCAAGTCTTATTATTTAAGACATACATTTCATAAGGCTATAGCTGTCATAGATAGTGAGTCCTCTGATGGATCTGAGCAAAGTAAATTGAAAACTTTCTGGAAAGGATTCACCTTTCTGGGTGCCGTTAAGAACATTTGTGACTCATGGGAGGAGATCAAAATATCAGCCTTAACCAGAGTTTGAAAGAAGTTGAACTTGACAGAAGCCCTCATGGATGACTTTGAGAGGTTTGGGACTTCATTAGAAGTCACTGAAGATGTGGTAGAAATAGCAAGAGAACTAGAATTAGAAGTGGAGTCTGAGGATATGACTGAATTTCTACAGTCTCATGGTAAAACTTGAACAGATGAGGAGTTGCTTCTTATGGATGTGCAAAGAAAGCGGTTTCTTGAGATGGAACCAGCTCCTGGTGAAGCTGCTGTGAACGTTGTTGAAATAACCACAAAGGATTTAGAATATTCCACAAACCTAGTTGATAAAGCAGTGGCAGAAGTTGGGAGGATTAACACCATTTTTGAAAGAAGTTCTGCTGGGATAAAATGCTATCAAACAGCATCACATGCTACAGAGAAATACTTCATGAAAGCAGAAGTCAATCTGTGTAGCAAACTTCATTGCTGTATTATTTTAAGAAATTGCCACAGCCACCCAACCATTAGCAACCACCAACCTGATCAGTCAACAGCCATCAACATTGAGGCAGGACTCTCGACCCCAATATCATAGCTCGTTGAGGGCTCAGATGATCACTAGCATTATTTAGCAATAAGGTGTTTTTAAGTTAAGGTATATACACTGTCTTTTTGGACATAATGCTGTTACACTCTTAATAGTCTATAGTGTAAACATAACTTTTTATATGTACTGGGAAATAAAAGAATTTTTATTACTCGCTTTATTATGGCATTTGGATTACTGCAGTGGCTTGGAACTGAACCCAAGATGTCTGAGTATGCCTGTATATGGGAATAAAAATAACAAAGGATATTGGTGTAGCATAACAGCATCATTTGTCCTCAGGTTTGGAAGGCATAAAGGGGACCCCATACCCCATTTTATGGCCCAACTGTAGTGACTAGTTCTGCTTTTTTCTGCTGTCTTGCCATTATTTGCTTCCTTTCAATCTGTGTGAACCTTCCCTAGGAGTCCACATCAGATATAACAAGGCTTTGGGAGCTATTTTTAACTTCAGGAATACTGTGTCATAACTAAACAAATAAACCACAGCCGGGCGTGTTGGTTCATTCCTATAATCCCAACACTTTGGGAGGCCAAGGCAGTGGATCCTTTGAGGTGAGGAGTTCCAGACCAGCCTTGCCAACATGGCAAAACCCCATCTCTACAAAATTCAAAAATTAGCTGGAGGTGGTGACAGGTGCTTGTAATTCCAGCTATTGGGGAGGCTGAGGAGGGAGGGAGAATTGCTTGAACCTGGGAGGTGGGGGTGGCAGTGAGCCAAGATTGTGCCACTAGACTCCAGCCTGGGTGATAGAGTGAGACTCTGTCTCAAAGAAAGAAAAAAAAAAAACTAAACAAGTGAACCACATGTCAAGTTTCTTTGCAGATTCTTTGGAATTCTGTCAAATTCACTGTAGTATTACTAGACAGACCATGTTTAATAGTAGCTGTGGCCAGTACTTTAGTGTAATAAAGGCAAATGCATTTTAAATGCAGCTTTATGGACAAATTGGTCAAAAAATTGATAAAAGTAGTGTAGTATAAAGTGCAAAGCTCCAAGGTCAGGTAGACTTGGGTTCTGATCCCAACTCTGTGACTTACTATTTGGGTAATCTTGGTTAAGTTACTTAACCTTTTAAGCTTCATAATTACCACTTTGATAAGTGGGGACAACAAAACTTAAATAAAATACTGCATCAAGTTGTTGTAGTAACTCATTCTTACCGCCTGGCACTGTTGTAAGTGCTTTGCACATATTAACACATTTAATCCTCTTAGTAACTCAGTTGGATTTTATTGTTAGAACCATTTTGCAAATGAGAAAATTGAACGACAGAAAGGTCATGTAACTTGCCCAGCTCATAAATGGAAGAAAAGAGTTAAATTAATATCATTCAGTTCCATCACCTGAGCTCATCACCACTTACTAGCACTGCCTTTCCAGCCAGAATAGTGCCTCATTGTAAGTGGCCATCAAGTGCTACTCAGAATTTTTTAAGAGAATAAAAAGTATTTGTAGTGGTAAAAGGATTGACTACTACTGTCTTAATCCTCAATTTGGTGAAGTGGCAGCCAGGAATTTTATATAAAAGACAAGCAGAAGAATAATTATCTATCATATTGACTGGAGGCCTACATTCTGTTTGTAGAATGATATCTGGCACATACTAGAATTTTTTTTAGAAGTATTTCAAATACAGATGTGGTTACACGGGCTGTGAATTGCTTTTAAATAGCTTCTCACTTGTATATACCATGATGATTTAGAATTTGAAGATACCTCCTCTGCTATGAAAGCAATAGTTTTCCATAGGCAAATAAAATATCACTTGTTTTTCCAGTCATTAATAATGAAACATAGTCACTTGACCTGACTGAAGGCAGAAGGACATAAAAATATACTTTTTCAATTCTGTTTTTTCTACCTAATAGAAATCTCCACACTGAGCATTTGGAAGTCCTTACAGAGTTTTAGACCTGGAAGAAGAAACCAAGATCTAAATGGTTAAGTAACTTGCACTAAATCACATATCTAATAGTGGCACATGATCACCTGATTCCTGTGAACTTTTCCTAGCACTGAGCTGCTAGCCATACTATGCTCTTCAGCTCTGAATACTTGAAGGAACTTCAACAACATGGATAAGTTCTTTAGTAGGTGCTTAGTGAACACTTACTGTATGAAAAATCTTGTGCTAAGTACTGAGGAAATAGGATTTAAATATTCAGCTCAGTCACAGGAAACAGACATGTAAACAAATAATTGTAATATGGAAGAGCATTACAACTGAGGTGCTTCTCCTTTTTTAACCTTATATTCTGTCTTTCTACTAGATCATGAACTTCTGCAGACACCCAGCTTTCTTTGTGTGCTCCAAGTGATTTGCACAAATTATAATATATTTATTGAAGGAGAGAATCAGTTAACTTATAGTAGTCGTGAAAAAGCTCAAAACACTTTAAAAAGTTTTCTGTAAATAACATTAATACGGCTGATAAACATGAACTAAAAAGTGATTTGTATAGATAAGCTATGATATATATGTGTGGGGTGTGTCTGTTACTTATGTGTTAAGGCATTTTTTCTTGCTATTTCTACAGAGCAAGTGATAATCAAGTTACTATGAGTCTACTAAATTGTGAAAACAGCTGTGGATCCAGCCACTCTGAAAGTGACTGCTGTGGGGCCATGGCCAGCTCCTGTAGCGCTGCAACAAAAGATGATAGTGTGGGTGGAACTGCCAGCACGGGGAACCTCTCCAGCTCCTTTATGGAGGAGATCCAGGGATATGATGTGGAGTTTGACCCACCCCTGGAAAGCAAGTATGAATGCCCCATCTGCTTGATGGCATTACGAGAAGCAGTGCAAACACCATGCGGCCATAGGTTCTGCAAAGCCTGCATCATAAAATCAATAAGGTATGTGAGCATAAGAAAGAATGGTGTCCTATAACAAAACTAGATACAGAAAACATTATTACACAGAACATGGAACATCCCAAAAAGCTACTTAGGAAAAAAGAACAGTGGACAGAAAATTGAGAAAGTTAGGTTCTTATCCCAGTTCCTACTGTTGTGTGAAAAGTGACATGAATCTCCTCCTCTCTTGACCCTTGGATAAATAATTTGCTACTTACACTAAAAGCAATTCTAATGCAGACTGGGGAGTGACTCTATGCTTTAAAGAAAATGGTATCTTTTTAATGTACCTTAAATTATGATGCTACTAGATAATGATAATCTCAACTACACAAAGAATACTGACTATGTAAATGATCACTTACTGTGATTTTAGGCATGTTAAATCCTATTACCTAAAGTGTATGGGCAACTGTAAAATTACCAGCATTTTTGAAGAAAGTATTAACTGAAGGCTCCACTGCCATAATATATCCAAAATCCCGTCCCTTCTCACTTTGTCCCCTACTACCCACCTGTTGTGAATCACCACCAGCTCTCTAACAGGCCCCCTGCTTTCTGTTCTTGCCTTCTTCCAGGCTCTTCTCAATACGGCAACCAGAGTGAACCTAGTAAAATAAGTAAGATATCATCTCTGCTCAGACCATTGTAGCATGGTTTCTGGGAGTAAAAGTAAAATCCATATAACATCCTGTCTGATAGGCACATGATTCATTTTCTGACCTCTCCACTGTGCTGTTTCTCCTTCTACTCATTCATTCCGTCTTTGCTGTTCCTTGAACATGTCAGACACACTCCTGCCTTGGTGAGCGGCTTTAGCTATTCTGTTTGCAGCACTCTGGCCACAGCTAACTTCTTAACTCTTCCAGTTTGTCTCAAATCTCACCTTCTCATAGGTCCCCTCGCCACCCTATTTATACCACAGTGTGCTTCCACCTTCTTGCCCAACACTCCCAGTCTCCACCCTACTCTACTTTTTTCCTTAGCACTTTCTGCCTTCTGAACCACCAGATAATTTATATGTTTATTGTCTGCTTGCCCCACTGGATGATAAGTTCCTTGAGAGCAAAGGTTTAGATCTGTTTCATTTCTTGATTTTTTCCAAGTTCTGGAAACAGTGCCTGACCCATAGTAGATGACCAGTAAATCATGGCTGCTTTAACTGAATGAAAGTACTTGCAATTACCATGGAAATAGATAAATTTTACTATAATTCAAAAGTAAATGGGAAGATTTTTAGGTGACTAAGGCCAAAAATTGGATGAAGGAGAGCAGATTTTATGTTCTTCAATAAATAGCCATCTGGTTATACTAAATCATTCGTAAGTAGGTTAAGTCATTCCTGGCAATGTGGTTAGTCTCCTAAGTTTTTATCTGTCAACTTTTACATTAACTTTTCTATAAAACTTGAATTTAAGAGTAACTACATCCATACTCAGGACTTGGCTTAATTTAAGTCGCAAAAGATAATGTCTGCTGTTTCAATTTTGGGGAAAAATGTGTTATGCATCACTGACTTTACAAGGTCTATTTTGGGTAGATTTTTCTCAGCCTCGACATTATTGATATTTTGGGCTGGATAATTATTTGTCATGGAAGAATGTCCTGTGTGCTGTAGGATCTTTAGCAGCATGCTTGGCATCTGCTCACTGGATGCTGTTAGTATCCTCCTTTCCTGTGCTTAGGAGTCCCAAAATGTTCCCTGGGGGTCAAAACTGCCACTGGTTGAGACCACTCTATATATGAGAGCAGAATCAAAGGCTTAACTTTTTTTGGAGACAGTCTTACTCTGATGCCCAGGCTGGAGTGCAAGGGCACAATCTTGGCTCACTGCAACCTCCTCTTCCCAGATTCACCTGATTCTCCTGTCTCAGCCTCCCAAATAGCTGGGATTACAGGTATGTGCACTGCCATACCTGGCTAATTTTTGTATTTTTAGTACAGATGGGGTTTCACCATGTTGTTCAGTCTGGTCTTAAACTCCTGACCTCCAGTAATCCATCTACCTTGCCGTCCAAAGTGTTGGGATTACAAGCATGAACAGTGTGTCCAGTCTCAACTTTTTTTTCTGTAATTATTTTTATTTATGTTGTATTTAGGTAAAATGATACCATATTATGGATCATTGATTTTCCAGTAGGTAGAAATGTACATTTTTTTTTTTACTAGGTGTCAGCCATGCCCAGGAAGGTAGCTAATCTTTAGCAGCTTTTTAATAGCAAGATGTTCATGAAAGTAGTGGGTCACTGGTCTGAAAAGGAAATACAACCCACAAAAAGAAGCCTGAGGCTTTTTTTTTTTCTATCTCCCTGTAAGCTTTTTAAAAATGACCACTTAGCTCCAGTGCTCTTAAAGGAACTGCTTTGAAATTTCTCATTGGTTATAGTCATTCAAGGAATCAAAATGCTTCTCAATACTCTCCCATTTTCTTTTTCTGAGGGTAGTTTTTTTCCATAATAAGAAAGAATAAACCACTGAGAAGCAGGACGTAGAGATCCTTTAACTCTTTGTTACGTTGGACCCTAGACCTACAAATAAAGGAGAACTTCTGCAGCTGATTAGCTGGAGTGTTATAGTGACTATTTCAGAGTAAACTTTAAAATGTGACCTCATGGGGGTATTACTAGGTGGTTAAATTTTTACTTATGGCTCAGCAATTGCATTATAGACATGTATTAGTATTGTGAGCAGCATATTTCATCTTTCTAGTGTATTATATAGGTGTGACAGCACAGAGGCCAGACTGCCAAAATTCTCATTCGTAACTGGCACTTCATTTTATGCCAATCAGAATATAATCTTATTCAGCTAATTTTTCTCAAAAAGCTGGACTCCATCCCACCGTATAAAAATCTCTTAGCTTTTGATAGGTTATCAATATGCTGCTATTTGTACTCATTTCATAAAAGAACAGTTCATAAGCTGTCCATTAAAAGATAGTTTATTTTTGTGACATGAAATGTAATGTGTTAAATTTTTTCCTTATGAAACAATAAATGAAGAATTTATATATGGTGAATTAAAGTTGTGTGGATTTTCTGATGTGAATATTTAAATCTACGAATTGTATGTGTTTTATTTGTTTCTGTTAGGGATGCAGGTCACAAATGTCCAGTTGACAATGAAATACTGCTGGAAAATCAACTATTTCCAGACAATTTTGCAAAACGTGAGATTCTTTCTCTGATGGTGAGGTGTCCAAATGAAGGTTGTTTGCACAAGATGGAACTGAGGCATCTTGAGGTATTAAAGTTCTTTTCTAGCTGTCAACACATGTATAAAAGGAAGTTCCTACAGAAAAGGGACTTTGCTGTATCCATCTGTGTGTTGCCACTACCTAGCATATGATGATTGGTTAATAAATTCTTGCTGAATTAATGCCAACCGTTTATTTATTGAATATAAACATAGGTAGAAACCAGAAATACACTTTTATCTACTCTGGTTTGTCCAGCAGTAATTTTTTTTTTTAAACCAGTATTGTTTTATAAGCTTTTTTGTTGAGCATTATCTGCAGTAAACCTGAAGAGCATTTTAAATACTAGTGTCACATTTTTATCTTATAACTTCATTTTTGTCATTTTGGAATAAGCAGTAAGTCCTAAGTAATCATCTCAGAATCCTCATTATGCTTTTTTCTCTCTGTTTGCCTAAATTGTGCATTTTATTATGCACTAAATGGAATACTCCTGTAGACCGAGATTAACTGAAACAATCAGATTATTAAGTAATTTGCTTTTAAACTAAATAAATCATTAGCTTGGTGATTTTTACCAGAAATTATTGTTAATGTCACATTTGAAATTAAATGGTTAAGACAGATATGCTACTTTCTCCTTTTACTTATTAGCTCTTCCTAAAAGAGAGTGGCCTTTTTGATACAACAATAAACTGGTAAATAGGAAATCTGACTTCTTTCCAACTCTCTTCCCTAATTGGATATATAAACTTGAGAATTCACATTCTTTGTATAAATTTGCAGTCCATAGCCAGTATTTGAAAAAATTCTCTAAAGACATTCAAATTATGAATGATTCTGTGGTGTGCACTTGACAAAGTAGACACAGTAACCTACTTAAAGAAAGGTTCAGTAGGCTGCTGAGAGCAGTATATTATTAGGAGAGATTATATTTAGAAGATTTCAGAGTTGGCTAATACTAATCTATTATGATTTTCTTATTATAGGATCATCAAGTACATTGTGAGTTTGCTCTTATGGATTGTCCCCAATGCCAGCATCCTTTCCAAAAATGCCAAATTAATATTCACATTCTGAAGGATTGTCCAAGGAGACAGGTTTCTTGTGTAAACTGTGCTGCATCAATGGCATTTGAAGATAAAGAGGCATGTTCTAACTTGGATTTGTTAATTTTACATCTTTAAACATCATTCTTAAATGTGTATTTGAGGGCATTAGCAGTAGATAAGGATGCGACTCTTAACTCTCACTCTGCATTATCAATTTTGGGAAAAATGATTTTTAAGAAAAAGTTCATACTAAGCCATTTTAGTATATAAGTGTAGAATTTGCATTTGCATGTCTTTCTTAAAAAATCATTTATACTAGTTATCACTACTGTAGATGCAAATAACAGAACTTCTAGGAAAGGCATATGCCACTCAACTTTTCTTTGTGATTAAATTAATGACCATTTTTGGATTGGAGATAAACAAGTAGAACAATTACTACATAAGATTTACACAGAACTATTTTGAAAAAGAGAATGGGTTGTCATAACTGTTATGAAGAATAAAACCCACAAAATGTTTCCTTAATGATACTTCATCGTGCTGTATATATACAATGTGTTTACACTTCTCATTATATATGTTATAAAGTTTATCTTTTAAAAAGAAACTTGATGGTGTCTAACAGCGTCATGATTATAGGACAGTTTTCATATTCAGAAACTGAGATAGATTAAGTATACTTGTATTAATATTGCCAATAAAAAAGCTAACACTGAAATCTAAGCCCTTGATCCCTATCCTATATACACTTTTATAAAATAGTCTACATATAATTTATGTTCTTTTATTCTATTACTTAGATACTTCCTTAAACTACAGTTTTTATAAATTCATGTTGGCAGTTTTTCCCTACTTTGAGGTCAAGCATATTATATCCATTACATTGATAAAATGCTCCAAAAAAGTCAGCTAATTTAGTATAAATGTAGAGAAGTCTGAATCATAATTAGAGTAAAATGACAACTCCTTTCCAAATTTTAGTAAATTAGATTGACTTAACCTGGAAGGCTAATTATATTTTAGCACATCAACTAAAGTTACTGTATTCTAGAAAATAAGGTTCACCCTTCTGGGGCATACGAGAGCCTGAGCACCAAACTTTCCTGCCCTAATAAAACATTTGTTCTTTAATCCTACTAACAAGAAATTTTAACTAAATCATCATGCTGCTGCTGAAAATTTTTGGAAGAAGATTGCCTTTGGAGAATTATAGCCTGGGCAGATGATGTCCAAAGTAGTTTCATATGCATTGCCTCATGATAAAAGGAAGGGATTTGAAAAATTCTTTTTGTATAATACCGTGGTCTTTCAAAGAGCTGGAAGGGTGAATGAATCTCATTACTATACTGGGAAAGAGAAAGAAAATGTCCTTTATATACTACTCTCACTTTTGCTTTATACAAATTGATGTCCTTGTTTGTTTATAGTGAAAAATTACTCTTTATCGAAATTAGTTGTTTTTACTTTTGCAGATATTCTCATGCTTTTCTTATGTTTCTCTAATAAAATTTAGATCCATGACCAGAACTGTCCTTTGGCAAATGTCGTCTGTGAATACTGCAATACCGTACTCATCAGAGAACAGGTATTATTTGTTTTCATAAATTTCTTCGTAAACAGTTTAAAGAAGTGAGTTAGAGAAATAGAAAAATAAAAAAAGAAAGGAAGTGAGTTAGGTTTTTTAATTGAAAATTTAAATCAGTAAGGCAAAGAAATACAGACTGAAGAAGTATTCGAGCTGTGTGAAAATTTTTTATATAAATTAATAAATATTTTCAGGAAGAACAAAACATCCAGCCCTTTTTAAGTACTTAAAATTCCTAAGTCATTAACATAATACTCATGCTTTTGTATATTCGTAAAAATTCCTAACAAAACCTATTTTAAGATAAAATTAATGAAAAGTAAGCGTCCCCATTTAAAGAAAGAAAAAGCTAAAATATTGATATTTACACACTGTGAAATGAGTATCTCAAGTGTCCAGAGACTGGCTAAAAGAGTAAAAGGGAACAGTGATACAGAGGAAAGTAATTCTGTTCAGTAGGAGAATATTTTTGTAGCTGTAATCCTTGAGGCATACAGGGAAGTTTCCATATTTTCAGGACCTGTAGCCCTTCTGTTGAGTGGCCTTGTAGGCCACTGATCGGGCATCATTAGAAGTAGTAATTACAATAGAAAATTTTATGGTGGGTTTTTTTTCGTTGTTGGTTTTTTTTTGTTTTTTGTTTTTTGAAATTGAGTCTCACTCTTGCCCAAAATGAGTGTGCAGTGACACAATCATGGATCACTGCAGCCCCAAATTCCTGGCTCAGGTGATCCTCCTGCCTCAGCTTTCCAAGGAGCTGGGACTACAGGTGTGCACTGCCATGCCTGGCTAATTTTTTATTGTTTCAGATATTTTGTAGAAACAGGGTCTTGTTATATTGTCCAGACTAGTCTCAAACTCCTAAGCTCAAGCAGTCTTCCCACTTTGGCCTCCCACAGTGCTGTAATTATAGATGTAAGTCACCAAGCCCAGCCTAAAGATTGTATGTTTTGACTATTAGTAGAGAAAGGAAAATTCCATCTGATTGCTATCTTCTGACATTTGGGGAGTTTGCCTACAAAATATGAATATTAACTATTAACTATTTTATACCCATGAAATCTGTAAACCCAGAGATCGTTATTGATATACCTTACTGAGAAGCAGCAAGCAAAACCTGTCACTGGACAAGTTTGTTAACCTTAAAATTTTTCCATTGGTTAACAGTCTCTTAATTTTTTTCAACAAAACCTTAATTTGAGGGTGTTAAACTTCTTTTGCTTATGAAGTCCTAACTCATTTTCCTTTTTCTTCTCTTTTAATATTGAAAGGAAACCATGCAGCAAACTAAAACCCAGTAAAAGAAAAACAATGTAGGAAAAAACCCTAGGCTAAGAGTCAGAAAACCTAGGTTTTAATCCTAGGTTTAAACTGTATTAACTGTGGTTTAACTGTGCCCTCTCATCTTTAGCAAGTTGACATTCTAAATAGATCAGGGATTAGCACACTGGCCTGCCAGCCAGATCTGTCTTGCTGCCTGTTTTTGTAAATAAAGTTTTATTGAAAGCCATGACCGTGTGTGTATGTCTTGTGTATGGCTACTTTTATATGACAATAGTAGAGTTAGGTACTTGGGACAGAGGCAGTACAGCCCATATTTACTATCTGATCCTTTACCAAAAATTTTATTGACCCCTGTTCTACACTGTTCCCTCTTGAGAAATGAAGGATTGAATTATAATAAATGGTCTCTCAGGTACTTTCTGTTTGAAATATCTTCAACTATAGCCAAATTAAATTTCTAAAGGAAACTTGGCACCACTTTTTAAAAATACGATTTCATATAATGGACCTTACCTTAGAGAATGTGTCTTAGAGTCCCAAAATCAAGGACCGAGACTTTCTTTAGAACTTTATTAATGTTTTTAAAGTACCTTCTAATATCTGAGTCTCCCCAGTGTACTAAAATATGCCCAGATTAACAAAAGTTAAGATGATTTTTGAAAGGTGGTCATGAGGAAAGTATGAATGTAGTCAGTGGCTTCAGTGCATGCAGTTGACTGCTTCCTGTTACATGGCCTAGACCTTAGTCGTGGGAGTCTTGATTGAGTTTGCTGTTGTAGGTTATTGTCCGGTGTTTTTTCTGTAAAGTGCCACTAGAGGGTGCCTAGTTCCTAGCAAGAGGATCAAATTCAATTTCTTGAAATGAATTTTGAATAATTGGAGGGGGGATATTATGAGATGTTAATATTTCCTTTCTCTATAACTTTTGGAAGTAAACATAGTTTTAATCTTTGTAAGTGACACAGTTTATGCTACACCTATTCCACTGCCAGCAAAAGCAGCCATTGACAATACAGTTTAATGTGATCACATCAAACTAGAACATGATATGCAAGGAAGAGATTTTTCAGCCTTTGTTTTGGATTTCAGATGCCTAATCATTATGATCTAGACTGCCCTACAGCCCCAATTCCATGCACGTTCAGTACTTTCGGTTGCCATGAAAAGGTAAGGGTTTTTTTTTTCTTTTAATTTCTTGAATATAAGTAAAAAATATTCAGTTACATCATGTGGACAAAACAACAAGAATGTAAATGTGCTTATAAAGCATTGTAATGAGTTATATAATAGAGTTATTATGGATGCTATGAGCAGAAGCAAAGGCATACTTAGCAATGCCTAAAGCATTCAGACAGACTTGACAAAACATGATGCTTTGGGCTGAATTTTTACAGGTGAAATAGTTTTCCAAGAAGACAAGGGAGAGAAGACCAATGAGAAAGAGTGAGCGTGGTGATTTGAGGAACTACAGGTAGTTTGTGTTGTGCTAGTTCAACCCAGTAGCAACGTAGATTATTTGAGGTGGAGGTGGAGGTGGGGGTAGCAGTACCTGAGCTGTTGGAATACCTAAGTGAAGACAGCTTGAATTATAGCCATGACAGTGAAGGTAGGTCTAGGAGCCAATACATATTTAGGAGAGAAGATGTATTGCCTGTGGAACTAAATAAATGTGATGAGTGAAGGAGAGGGAGGCATCTAGCTAGAATGACTTGGTTTCTGGCCTTGATCACTGGGTAGATTGATGGGCCATTCACCAAAAAGAGTGAACACAGGAAGAACTGATTGGAGGTACAGGTTTAAAAAAATCTGTTTTAACAAATTGAGTTGCACATATGACTTCACCCAGCTAGGGAACAGGTGGAGATGACTGACATGCGTTATGTGCAGTCTTAAGCTCCATAGAGAAATCAGGACTCAGAAAAGAGCCATGAACAAACAGTATAAGAAATAGATGAACCAGGCAAAGAGAAAGTAGTATCATGGTCTCCAAAATAGTTTAAAGAGTCATGATCAGTATTGTCAAATGTCTAAGATGGATCATTGTTTATGGTATGTCTTTCTTTTTGGAGAGTGCAGTTACAGTTTTGCTTTTCCATTATACTTTTTTTTCCTGACTTATATATAATAAACATACATCTAATAATTTGAAAAATCAGAAAAATGGTATGGTTATATTTTGGTAGAAATGTTCTGTATTTTTGTGCTTAGAGAAAAAGACGAAATAAATTATAAAATGTTAATTTTATAGTTAGGTGAGATAATAGGTAGCATACTCTGATCATCTATATTTTTTAGTTTTTTTTATGATTTTATGACCTTTTATAATAAAAATTGTTGTAGTATGAATGTTTTTGTATAGTAGGATATTCTTAACGACCTTAGCATGGTGACAGGAAAAATTCCAATTTGCAATACATTTATATATTGGGAATTGTAGACAAAAAGGTAGACCATATTCTTGACTTTTTTAAAAAAGAAGAAAATGGTATTAATATTAACCAGAGACAGAAGATCTTTAGAGGGGTGTGTCCTTTTTTAATGGGAAATATTTTAATAATTGTATTCTAAAGGAAAGGGAAAGTGTTAGAGGAAGAGATGTTTGAAGATGAAAAATCACTGAGTAAAATTTCTGAGGTGTTGGCAACAGGTCATGTGCCATTTAGAGCACAGGTAGAATATTAATCTTGGAGAAGACAGGCATCTCTGAGTCAGAAAAGAAGGATAGGTGTAAATACTGACATTTTTGTAGGTGGGAGGGAGATTTACATGAGTGAAAGCCAGGAGAGTGGTCATCAGATAGCCTGTTTTTCAGTGAACCAAGAGGCAGTGTCGTTTCATTGGCTCAAGAATCTGTTGAAGGCAAAGGAAAATTGTAGAGAATTGAGGGAAGTGGTGTGACTACTTGAAAACTTCTTGTATGACCTGGCCAGGTCATTTTTCTAGTCCTCACAGTTATCTATTCCCAACCTAAGGCTTGTGCTTGATTCTTAGATGCAGAGGAATCACTTGGCACGCCACCTACAGGAGAACACCCAGTCACACATGAGAATGTTGGCCCAGGCTGTTCATAGTTTGAGCCTTACTTTAACTCCCGCTCCTCCCACCCCTGAGGTCTGGAATTTCCAGGAAACTATTCACCAGTTAGAGGGTCGCCTTGTAAGACAAGACCATCAAATCCGGGAGCTGACTGCTAAAATGGAAACTCAGGGTATGTATGTAAATGAGCTCAGGCGAACCATTCGAACCCTTGAGGACAAAGTTGCTGAAATTGAAGCACAGCAGTGCAATGGAATTTACATTTGGAAGATTGGCAACTTTGGAATGCATCTGAAATGTCAAGAAGAGGAGAAACCTGTTGTGATTCACAGCCCTGGATTCTACACAGGCAAACCCGGGTATAAACTGTGCATGCGCTTGCACCTTCAGTTACCGACTGCTCAGCGCTGTGCGAACTATATATCCCTTTTTGTCCACACAATGCAAGGAGAGTATGACAGCCACCTCCCTTGGCCCTTCCAGGGTACAATACGCCTTACAATTCTTGATCAGTCTGAAGCACCTGTAAGACAAAACCACGAAGAGATAATGGATGCCAAACCAGAGCTGCTTGCTTTCCAACGACCCACAATCCCACGGAACCCAAAAGGTTTTGGCTATGTAACTTTTATGCATTTGGAAGCCCTAAGACAAAGAACTTTCATTAAGGATGACACATTATTAGTGCGCTGTGAGGTCTCCACCCGCTTTGACATGGGTAGCCTTCGGAGGGAGGGTTTTCAGCCACGAAGTACTGATACAGGAGCATAGCATGCCCTCACTTGTTCAAAAACAACTACCTGGAGAAAACAGTGCCTTTCCTTGCCCTGTTCTCAATAACATGCAAACAAAAACGCGGCGGGAAAGATGTAGTATCTGCTAGTGAGCGTTAGAGATGTCACTTACTAGTTCTTTCTGTTACAAATGATCTGAGACAGTTTTTTCCTGGGAGTCCACACGTTCCATGCTTTTTCAGAAATGTTAGGCCTGAAGTGCCTGTGGCATGTTGCAGCAGCTATTTTGTCAATTAGTATACCTCTTTGTTGTACTTTCTTGGGTTTTTATTCTGGTATGTTTTATTGTCAGAAAGCCCAGACTCAGAGTACTAAACCTTTAATAATAATGGACTTTCCTTAAAACTTCAATCTATTTTTATAGTATTATATGTAATATATTAAATGTGAGAATCACTACCGCCTTGTGCTGGTGCCCTCAAGAAGAGTTATTGCTCTAGAAAGTTGAGTTCTCATTTTTTTAACCTGTTACAGATTTCAGAGGATTTGAACCATAATCCTTGGAAAACTTAAGTTCTCATTCACTCCAGTTTTTCCTCCATGTTGTTACTAAGGATATTCAGGGATGAGTTTAAACCCTAAATATAACCTTACTTATTTAGTATAAACATGTCTGTTGAATAATACTTGTTTGAGTATTCGTTCTGCCTTGCTTACATATTTTCTTGAGGCTGTGAAGTAGTGTCTTCCCAGAGTTTATAATACTGAGAACCATGTGGATACCAACCGCTCAGTGTTATGCTAGGGAACCTTTTTGTCTATTCAGTGCAGAGTGAATTTCACAGCTCTGCATATGTCTTCAGCTGTCTGAGGCTTACAAGACAAGGAGATGGACACATAGAATCACCAACATAAAAATTAAAAGTGACTCAAGTAGTCAGGCCATGTGGCATCTCATTGGTGGTGACAAACTATTTGAGCCAGAAGTCTTCAGCTCTTTTGAATACCCTCTTGTTTAGTTCAGTTAAATGGAACAAAATTAATTTCCTAAATTCAGAATTTTTTAAAACTTGGGAGATGATTGGCGATATCAAAGAGGTCACTAAACTAAGAAGTCACAGTGGTTATATCACAACTTAGCTTGAGTAATTTGCTTTAGCCTAGCAACCGCAGGTTCTGAGAAGGATCTTGTGGAATGTTTTCAAAGTAGCCAAATGTTCCTAATAGGGAAAGATGATTTTTTGGTGTGCCATCATGTATTTGTTAAAGGTCTATATACAGATACAAAAAATCATGGAATCTAGTTCTTAGGGAGACCCACAATTAGTATAGGCTTATAAAGGATCTAAAGATAGATCCTGTATTTAAAGTCGTCTGGTACTGAGAGATGACATTGTATTCCTAGAGAGCCCAAATCGGCATCCCCAACCAGAGTTCAAGATCAGCCTTAATTTCAAGAGACAGCCAAGGACCTCGTCTGCAGATGAGTGTGGTTTTCAGCCCCAGCCAGTGGTCACTTTGAACTTTCCCTTTGCTTTTTTCTCTACTCTCCCTCCCCACCCACCTTTAGGCACCTGATCTGGTGTGTTTGTTATGGAGTGAAAATAAAAGTCAAGCAGAGACCTTGTTCCCGGTGCCACCATTAGTACCACAAGCTCATGGCTAGTTAACCACATTATTTCCTGGCAGTTTGTGTCCTTCAGCCTTGCCTTCCAACCAGCTCCTCAGAATCACTGCATACCACCCTTTAGGTAGGGAAACCTGTGCTGCTGCTGTTCCTGTGATTGTTTTACAATGAATAAATAATTGTTAAGTTCCATTTAAAAAGTAATCAGTTGTTATTTTTGTATTTGCTTAGAAAAAGCCTGAAGGAAATATACTAAACTTTTTGATGGCTTATTTTCCTCTTTGTGCTTGCTTATATTTTTTACATTTTCTGCAATAAATGTGTACTTTTATCAGAGAAAAAAAAATTAAATGTCGCCACAAAACATTCAACCTCCACATCCCCACCTCAAAAAAGGAAATGATATTTAAAAGCTTCCTGGTCAGATTTCTATTAAAAGCATTGGCTGTGCCTTAGGTACAAAGAGGAGTTATTTCCTGCCTTGCTGATAAAATTTTTTCTACTATCTCAAGAGTCTTAAAAAAAAAAAAATTGTTTTGCCTAATTTAGCTTCAAGCTTCCCATGTGTAAAATTAGTTGGATTAGATGTTTCTACAGCCCCTTCCAGCCATAACATTCTGTCTCAAATTAAGTTCCAACCAGCAGAACATTGACAATACTAAGTATCTTGCCAGTAGAAAATGTCTTTAAACTTACTCTTTGCTGACACTTATACTTTCCTCTAATTTAGTGTCTATCAGCTGGGTCACAGCTTAAGTAAAACAAGCAATTTTAACCCCCAGCATTTGGCATTTTGTCATAAACCAGCCAGTTACTTTATGCTGGTCATTCATTGTGACTACAACATAGAATAGTCAAGCTGTCGTTCCAAATGGAAAACTTTTGACTTCAACTCAGAATTAAACCTTATCCTGGAAAGTTGGTTTCTTCTCTATGTTTTCTCAATCTTCTACTCTATTCTTAAACACTAAGTTTCACTCAGTTGGTATACAAGCCTTTGGGCTTTATGTTTTATGTTATTAACCACTTTTTAACATATTTCTCTTTTGGCATTCTGGAACATTGCTAAAATTAAGAAAAAAAAAAATTTGTTTCCTCTCTCTGCAGAGATGTCCAACCCAACGTTGGATGAAACTTGCTGCAAGTCATACATTTTGCTATTGGCAAACAAGTCTGAACGTTGATTTGAAGTTTGGTAGTCTGTTACTATCCTTTGGCGACAAAGACTGTTTATTGGTATACAACAGTATGATTCATTTTTTATTTTGCGGATGAATAGTAGAAAAAAAATGAAACAGAATGAAAACAGGTGTTTTTTATCCTAATGATGGACTAAGAGATACTGGTCAATCTCCAGCAATTTTTGTGACCCATATAAAATTATACAGGTCACAGTATAATTCTCTATTACTGTTTTTATACCAGTAAGTCTTAGATAAACTAAGAGCATGCTTATGAATTATGTGAACAGTTAGAATGCATTCTTTTTACAGAGGAGCAATTGCTTTTATTTGCTAACCCTGTTCTTGACTTGCCTCAAGTTCTACTCATTATTTTACATAAAATACCATTAGGCTGGGCATGGTGGTTCATGCCTGTAATCCCAGCACTTTGGGAGGCTGAGGCTGGCAAATTGCTTGAGGCCTGGAGTTCAAGACCAGCCTGGCCAAAATGGTGAATCCCCGTCTCTACTAAAAATACCAAAAATTAGTCAGATGTCATGGTGCGTGCCTGTAATTCTAGCTACTTGGGAGGGTGAGGCACAGGAATCACTTGAACCCAGGAGGCAGAGGTTGCATTGAGCTGAGATCACACCTGCACTCCAGCCTGGGCGACAGAGTGAGACACTGTTTCAAAAAACAAAAAAAATTTTGATTTTTTTTTTTTTTTTTTTTTTTTTTTTTTTTTTTTGTTTTTTTTTTTTTTTTTGCGTGTGTGATGCCTAGTTGCTTAGAATCTAAGCAGTGCAATGCCTTAAGGAAATGAAAAATATTTTTTTTTGAAGTGTGTTTTTTCTGAACTCCCAGATTGACATGATGGACTGTAGGATAGTTTCTCAGTTTCTATCCTTGTGCCTGTAGAGTGTACTTGGCACTTAGAAATTCCCAGTATCCAGAAAGATGATCTGATGAAATCAAATTGGATGGATCTTGGCAGATGGTGACACTCAATTACAGACTTCACTTTCAGTCAAAAACACACTTGCAAGGAGATGCCTGGTTGTTTCACTAAATGTCACTTGTGTCTGTAATGTTTTAAAGCTTTTTCTCCCACAGGAAATTCTGTGTTATAAAATTCTGAAAAATAATTCTAGGTGGGGAAAACATTTTAGGAAATAAGAGATGTGCTGCTTTTCCTCTCTCAGAGTGTTTTCTCAGCGGGACACTACCCTGCCTTTAAGATGGGGAAGGAGGGACGTGCGCCTTTGCTCTTCATGTTTGCAGCCCTGAAGGTAGGTGCTATCCCACTCGGATAATCGCCCAAGCAGCAGTGACCATAGTTTTCTCCTACGCAAGCCTTCAGGAGAAGGTAAACTCAATGTGAAATGGGGATGTGTTCTGGTTGCTGCTGCATCACCTCTTACCACAGTGCCTGGCACATTGCACACACAAATATGTAAAAATGAACATTTATTGAAAGCAGCAGTTAAAGCTGACCAGTTTCTGGTATCTTGTCATGTAAATTTTAGATGGTAAGGTGTAGATGTTACTTTTTTTGCTTTTTTTCCTCAACACTTTATTTCCCAAACATGCAGAAATGGTGAAAGACATGTATAGCGGGCATCTAGAATCTGTAGTAATATTATGTTACATTTGCTTTATCACTTGATAGATGTTTTGTCACTTGATAGATGTTACTTTTAATGAGACTTCAAGTTTGGTTTCTCTAAGCAAAATACTCTAAAATAACTGAACAACTTTAATCAATTTGTCTTAAGTTCTTTGGGGCAACTTGTGACATTTACTTTGTAACTGGAATTGTAGCCCTCACTTTAAGCTGGTTTTAAACTTAGGAAATTTGTTATGCTGAATTTTAGTCTTATTTTGCCTGAAGGGGTATTTTTTATAATGGATTTATTTGAAGGTCCTTGATAAATTGTGCAGAATTTTCTCATGTTATTTTTGTACTTGCTAAATTATCTAATTTCTGTGGTGAGAATGTAATTTGGGGCCTATTTTGCTGATAACAAGCTTCCAGTATTATGTTCGCAGAGGGATGAAGAGGTATGATTTAGCAGATAAGCCACTAAATTAGCAGCTAAGACAAATTTTTTCCTGGACTGGGCCAATCAGTTTTGTCTTGGTGCCCTTTTCCCTGTAAAGTGGAAACTAGAATTTGGAATTTAGATATTAAGTAATGGGCAGCATTCATTAATGTGTGGATCTATTAAGAAAGACATTTCGTGAATCCAGGTAGGCTTCTCATAATTCTATAAACTGTATAACAAGCTGTGGAATAAAATCTGACTTTTGAAAATTGAAACACATCCAATGGTCTTACCACAAAGCCTGCTGTTTCCCAGAACTCTACCAATGCCACGGAATTTGTAAGCAGTTATCCTAATCCATCTGGACTCTGAAAATACGTCCTTTACAAGAGGGAGTGAATGCAAAGATGAGGGTGGGGAAACACTAATCATGAAAAGAATGAAAATCAGTGTTCAGTTTTAAGAGCAGTTTGTATTGAAGGAAGGGATTAAAGGAGTTATCCAGATCCAGGACAGCACCGCTTCCACCACTCCCCGAACCATCAGCATGCATGGAACACATAAAAGCCCTGCTCCTAACGGCAGTGAAACCTCAGATGGCCTCCATCAGGTCAATACAACGGAATTGCAGGGCTGACTTAGAGATTGAAGGAGGACTCCATTTTAGTAAGCAGATACTTGTGACCTTTCTCAACCCAGGTTATGAATGCAGATTCATGTTTATCTCACAAAGGCACCTGGAGTTTTAACTTCATGTCATGTCTCAGTACTGGTTGCAAGGTATGACCAAAAGCGTTACCTGAATGGCACCTTTCTGAGTATTAATTTAGAACATGCCAGACTGACATACCTACTGTCTCCCCACTGTTACTACTTCCGTACCAGCTCTGTGTATTGCACCGATGTCTTTATGAGAAACCACTCTTAATTAAAATGAAATATATATATTAAAATATAAGTGATACTCCAAGTGGTTTTTAATGTAATAACTATACTTTGATTTTTGCTTCATAGTAGTTCTATTTAGGGGACTGTGTAACTCAGTGTATTGGGAGAGAACAATTTCAGGCACTAGTTATCACTTGAAATAACTAATATCTTGGCTTCTTCAGGAAATGAGTAAGTGAGGATTCATTTTGCTCCTTGGTGTGGGAAGACTGCTTTTTACGAAACAAAATTAAGCCTAAAGAGAGAGTACTTCCATAACTACTTTAGGTCCAATGAGAAAAACAGATAAATTGAAAGTGTGAAGCCAGATAACAAATTTATTCCCAAAAAATTAAGGCAGAAAGGGGTATGGCTGCCTGTCTTCTCCTTAGTTACCAAACTCCCTGAATGGGTTTTTAAGCAGAGGTGCCTCTATTGTGGAGCTATTAAAAGTATTTTTAGGAAACTTTCTATGGGCCAACCCCTGCCTCTTCTAAAGTAGACTCAGCTTCCCTAAGTGGAGTGCAGAAGCTGGTAAGACACCTTAATTTTTCAAATTCCAAAAGTGAAATACTGTTATTGATCCCAGAGTAAGCAATAAAATTTTTACTCCCAAAAATTAATCCCAGAGTAAGCAATAAAATTCCAATCCTTATTTTTGGTTAACTTCTCAGCCCTTTTCTATCTTCTAGTCCATTTTGTACATGTCTGTTACTCTGTTATCACATTTTTTTAAAATTAACTGTCTTACCAGGACCAGAAGTGGCAAGAATACCATTTGTGACCCTGTCAGGAAATGATGCATAGTCACAGTAATTTTTGTTTAGCCTGGGTAGGGTTTTGCATATTATTTCCATATAAAAGCAAGTCTGATTGTCACAGAACTTATACTCCTGAAAGCTAAATTATAAAACCACACTGAAAAATAAATTCCAAAATTCTGAAAAATAATTGTTCCTGTCTTTCCCACTTTCCCACTGGTTGCCCTAACCCGATTGGCAAAGACTGATTTTTTTTTTTTTTTTTTTTGATACCACATGTGTATGTTTCATGTGGCTTAGATTTATTGAGTTGGATTTAGATTTCTGTGTTCTGATAAGGCCACTTTTTTTTTTTTTTTTAATGTAGGTATTGGGGCTGGGGGACACTTTTCCAGAGAGGTCTGGGCTGTCTTGATTCCAGCTTCATTTTCCCCCAGCTTACTTAACCTGAAGCTAAATAGGTAAAGTAGACAAAGCTCCAGCAAAAGTTTTTAAAGTAGTAGTGGTGGCTCAGCACTTTGGGAGACCCAGGCATGAGGATCACTTGAAACCAGGAGTTTGAGACCCCATTATAGCAAGACCGCACCTCTACAGAAAAAAATAAAAAAATAAGTAACTAGTCTTTGCCTTTATAATATATAAGAACCTGAAAGTAAAGTTTGTTTCAGACCTAATATGGTATTCCTTTGGAGCCATTGTGAAAGAAAAAAAGGAAAGCTCAGGTTTTTCTGAATACATCTGGGCTAAGAGA